GATGAGACATGTGAATTTATGTTTGGTGTTATTAATTTGGAAGATGGTGAATTTAATAGATTTACTAATTTGATGAATTAAATTAGTTTGGTTAATATTTAAAATCCTTCGTAATTAAAGGGGTGTTATTGGGTTTAAATTCCTAACTTTTAATATTATGAGATTAAAAAGTGATGATGTTGACCAAGAATAAGATTTGGAGAATTAAGCGAGATTGAGTTGATGTGATATGGTATTTGGTACATAGTTTTACTAGTTGAGTTATGTTATCATAATAATACCTAAAATTCATATATGAGATATTCAAATTGTTTTGGAAGATTTTGACAATAAACGAAAGGAATATGATTTTAGCTTGTTTGGAGCAAATGGATGAATTGGATTAAAACAAGAATGAGTTATCAAAACATTTATTTATTTGTTTATTTATTTTTCTTTGTTTAATTTGATTCGGTTGATTTTGATATAATTGATTAAATATTAGAATATTCACTTATGCTTATTGAGAATTATGATTGAACTTGAAGATCTCGAGATTTCACTTGCATGAGAAAAATGAGAATTTGATTCTATTTAATGTTTAGAATGTGGATGAGTTTTGAAAAGATTGTAATTACATTTCATTGATAAAGCATCTGAGTTAGAAATCGATGAAAACTTAAACCCACTTTGGTGTCATATGTTATTACTATTGATGAACCTATTGCTTAGAAATTTTAGTTTTGATAATTGGTAGGGGATTGCCATGTTAGTGTTTAAATGAGGAGATTTTTTGAAAGGTAAGAAAATGTTTGACTTTGGGAGTTTGTTTTATATAAGGAATATTATTGAATTTGTCTTGAAAAGACTAAGTTAGAAGTTGTTGATTTACATGTGGTAAATACATGAACATTGACATTGTTATATTATCTCTTGGGATTGTATCATGATATTACATTGATAGGGATATGGAAATTGATCACAATGGAGAATTGTGTGGAGGAAATTGGAAATGAAATCATATGAAGGATTGTACATTTTGCATTATCATTTTATCGAACCACTATTGAAATTGATTTTTTAATCTTGCATTGGAAGGTTATGGTTTTAAAAGAGAAATTGTTTTATGAAACAAGATCTATTGTTTTGTTTTTGGTAAATACGTTGGTAAGTCCGGATAGGGGGTTAGTTGGTATTGGTTAAGTTGGCCTGAGTGTCCATGGTGAAAGACAAGAAATCTGCGCGGATAGGTGTCGAGCCTTCCGATTAACACCGGTAAAAATGACAATTTGGTAATACTTCTATAGTCTACTTGCAGACACCAGCCTAAGGATTACCTGAGTCGTATTTGCCACCTTAGAATTTTATTGAAATTGTTGGATTAATGTGTTTTCAAATTGGCATTGTGCGTAAAATTTTCAAAAGATGAGAAAAATATTTTGAGCATGACATGGCATATGCATTCATCTCATAAGACTATATAAAATGTATTTGATGCTTTGTTAGATGCCATTATGAATTATTTAATTATTTGATTCAATTAACAATGAGGTAATTGAATGAATTAAAAAAGGATGTTATGTTGCCATTAAAACATGTTTATTTATTTAAGTTAACTAGTTATGGTTAATTAAATAAATAGGATTTAAGGGATGATGTAATAGAATCGTATAGTTTTTGACATTGTATGATTTCAAGTATATGTATGATTATCTTTGTACTCACATATCTCTTAATGTTTTAATATGAGACTGTTTGGTGAGCTAGTGGTTGCTCACCCCCTTCCTGTACATATGTGCAGGAAATGTCTTTTGGATTTGAAGATCAAACAATGAGTTTTACCATTTCATAAGTGTAATGTAGTGATGGATTGTACTACTTCATTTGTTTGTTTGGTTGAGTGCTATTTTTTTGTAAAGAATAGTGTCCACTCTTTTATTGAAAGTCTCAGGGCATTTTTTTATTCGTATGTAAATGTCTTTATTGTATTACGAGAGGAAATATGTATATTTAATTATTTATTATTTCATCAAAGGATGAATTGTCATTTGTAAATGAACTTAATTAATGAATATTGGTAATGTTATTCGAGTAATAAAAAACGGAGCGTGACACATCACATGAGGTCGATCACAGATTAGAGCTCTCTAGAACTCATAAATTAGAGCTCCCAATCTTTTTTCAAACATATATTTATGGGTTTTTTTTCACTAAAATCTCTCTATTTGCCCAATAAACTATAAATATAACGAGTTGCATTACAAATAAGCAATATAATAGTATAGTATTGCTGCACCTTATGGGGGTGTTTAGTGAAGATTATTTTAAGTTAAAAGCAGATAATTAGAAAACTGAAGTTAAAAGTACTCTCCTCAACTTCTGCAAAATCAAATTTTTTTAGTTTATTTAAATTATTTCTATTTAATAAGCTATAAACAGAAATTGTATTAAACAATCTGTCACAAATTTTTAAATTAAACTAAATTATAAGCTACTTGCATATTCCCCACCAAACACCCTCATAAAAATGTTAGACATATTATTGTGGGGAGTAGAAGTTTGGCCCAAATATCTTATGCCCAAACAACCCAAGAAGAAGAAGACCTAGCACAGTGACAAGCCCAAAGCATGATCGGCTAAAAGAAACACAATGTAGTTGATCATTATAAGAGGCATAGTTTAGCCGATCTCTAAGAAGTGACTTCTGATGAGGGCCATCCGTTTGATAAAAGAGGAGATATCCAACGCCATATGACAATGGCAAGTTGAACATCGTTTGACTATAAAAAGAGAACTAAGCAGCATTCTAAGCACAAACATACAAAACAAACAATTCATTATAATTTTCTATTGCAAATGAGTCGAGCAGAGCTGAGTTTTGCTGAGCTTGAGCTCGTTACATTTGCTTATCGAGCTCATTTATTGAGTTCGAGCTCGGTTTATAAATAACTGGATTTGAGCTAGGCTCGGCTTTTAATATTAATGAAACTCGAGTTCGGCTCGGCTCGATAAGATTTTTTTACATATTATTTATATTATTTAAATATATTTATATATTATTTAATATATAAATAATGTATTTATTATATAATTTAAATAAAGATAAACAAGTCGAGCCGAGCCCTTAACGAACCGAGCCGAGCATGTTCATGAACAGTTCGATTCATTTGCAACCTTATGTATGATCAAGATATTTGACTCGATTATTGGAGAGTCTTCCCAACCATTGTAAGTCGAGAAGATAACTGACTTTGGATTATTTTGCAGGATAGGTAGAAGCTTAGACGCACCTTTTCATTACCTACCTGTGGAAACAAATCCTTCCTTCACAATTATTTTATTGCATAAATTATTATTTCTCTCACAAAAACGACGGGCAAATACCCCAATTATTATTGGTGATTTATGTAGTGAAATATAGTTTTAAGTCCGTAAACTCTAACACAAATGAGAGAATGAAAACATAGTTTGGGAAAAAGGGATAGGTAATTCTTTATCCTTCAGCCTTCCAAAATCAAGGCTTTGACAAAGGAGGGAATTGTCCATACATAGTTTAGAAGAATTCTTGCTTTCAATGGCAAGAATAAGCGCTTAGTTGTCTTGTTTGATAATTCCATCCAGAATAAGGTCTTAACAATTTAGGGATTTTAAAATAAATTGTTAACATGAAAGAGTATATATTTTTGCTTCTAAACACATAAGAGTCTATATGTATCCTACTGTATACATACACTAATTCAAAATCAATCACATCCTTACCAAAGGAAAAGACATGACATCCAACTATTAAAAACTTTTATAGATAGATATTGGTCCACACAATAATATTTTTCAAATCCAACAACAGTATACACAACCATGGTTCATAACAATATATAGTATTACACATAATCAAATGGTCTCTTAGATTTACATACTTATTATGCAGCCCAAACCAAGCAAATCTTAAACTAAAAAAATAAAAATAAAGTCAATTTTGACACATCCAAATGAACAAATAACCATCATTCAGCATATTTGTGATATACTAGCTAACATAAGATGATAATGAGCCAAATTTTCTTTGATAATCTGGACTCCCATGTAAAGGCAGAGCTAACCTTGTCTAAACATATCACAATATTGAATCACCTGTAAGCAATTTGAACAACTACACCAAGTCAATAACTGTACAGTTGCATATTTTTATAGTGTTACACTTTTTCATCAAAATGTTACTCAACAATAATAGATTATATTATATTTCAACTTTTTGTAACATTTCGATAAGAAAAAAAAAAATTACACTACCATAAAATATGTGACTGTATCATGATTATTGTAATTTCATTTTAAAAATCAAAAATTGTCATAACACTACACCAACAAATTATGTAACATTTGTTACAAAAAGTCGTAACATTTACTTCAAAATACTTAACTAGCATTTCCCTTGATTTGATTATATAACTATGCATAAGACATGGTCTATATTAATTTTTAAATACCATTTTACTCGAATAATATAAATATTAATGTTTGAAACATATGAAATCTATTCAGTGTCTATGGATATAAACATATACTTATATTGGACACTCGTACTTGAGTTCATGTGATGTAAGGTTGAGAAAAAGTAGCAAACACTTCTAGCAAATCACTAAAATCACAATACTTCGATGTGTCAGCGGCCAATATTATAGTGCGAACTAGTCTCCAACACCGAACTTCATGTAATTTAATTCTTGTGCTATTTCAAATTCTATAAATTAGTAGAAACCCTTTCAAATTATATTTCACCATTAAAATTACAAATTCGAATTACTACTGTACATTGCTAACATTAATCAGTAAGTATGTGTTAGACAAAGTTAATAATAATGAATATGAAGGCTTTGGATGACTATAACTAAGAGAATGACATACCTCTTCATTGGAATGGAAAGATTTGTTGATTTTCTATCTCACATTAGGGGTCAAAAGGAGGGGCATCCTTGTATTGACAATTGCACTGATGGTGGCAATTTATATCCAGAGCAAAAGCTTACCAGGTGTGAACATTTTTTAATGGAAACCCTTTTTAATTGATGGGGCACGGGAATAATTTCAACTTGTTCGCTTGTTGCTTCATCTCTTGAAACTATTCCTTCCCCTGCATTTGATCCTCTGGTTTTGAATACCTCTTCTATGGACTCACAATTTTTTATCTCAAGTGATTGTAGATTCTGCAAACTTCCAAGAAGTTCTAATGGAGCAACATATAGTAATTCTTCACACCACTCCACACGCAAACTTCTTAGTTTATTAAAGGAGTTAGGTGTGCTAATCCATATTTGTTTAAAGTTGCTTAGTCTCCAAATTCTCAATTTTTCCAAGGAAGGAAACACAACCTGTAGTATTGATAATAACATAAGGAATAAAGAAAAAATTAACTTCTATTAAAAAGAAAAAAGACAGAAAAAAAGAAAGAGCTTCGATCTCTCAAACAAGTGAACGAACAATAAGTTGTATGAAAAATTGTTACTGGCGGTTTAATTTTTTATACTTTCCTCTCATTGACCACAATCAACAATAGAACTAATTTGTTTTTTGCTTAATAACAAGATACAAACAAACAAATTAGAACTGGTCACCCTTTGAAAGTGTTAAAATTCTCTATCTAATGAGGACCACGACTGAATGCAAGAGTAAGTATCCCCTCTCTCTCTCTCACAATAGAAATTTTCACATAAAAAGGTACATTTGAATTTCTAATCACAGCTGCGAGATGGACAATTTATTGGTGTTATTATCATGCATTTTCGTGAATTTCTAGTTCACCAACCTAATTGAATCTTTTTAGCATGTCTCCCAATTCCGTTACTACTATGAGTATCTCCACTATGATTTGCATAAACTTGGTAGAGAAATATTTAATGAATTTTATTATTTTAAATTCCTTAACTGGTTACTGATTTTATTAGTTAAGAAAGTAAAAAAACCACAAAAAAACCAAAGCCAAAAAAGTTAAAACGTCACAATATACATATCAATTATTCATTTTTTTTTCTACAATTCTCTATTCAACTAAAAAATCATTTCAAACATGCTAACTTTTTCACTGCACCGAAAAATCAAAAAGTTACTAAATAAGACAATTTGCCAAATAGGGCCTCAGAGTGGGTTTGTAATTTTTTTCCACAAATTAAAATATCTCAATTAGTTCTTGTAGATAGAGTTTTCATTGAAAAAAATAATTTAAAAAATATATATGATTGTTTGAGATGTCTGAAATAATGAAAATAAGCAAATAATTTAAAACAAATAGAGTAATAAAAAATGGATAAATAGAATTAAGCAGAAAAATGGTCAATTAAACTAGCCACTTAACTAGGCTTAGGCCTCATTTGATACGTAACAATTTTAGTTTAAAAATTAAAAAATTACTAAAAAAAATTAAAAAGCCTATAACCTATACCAAAAAGTTAAAGATTTCATTTTCTCTCTACTTTTTATACATTTTTTCGTAAAAAATAAAAAAGTCATTCTAACATCCTAGTTTTTTTAACTCATGTTTTAGTCAAAATATTAAAAAATTACTAAAATATCATGTTCTAAAATGAGACCATAGTTAATTATGCGTTAGTCATTTTGTGGACACTATGACATGTGCATTCGACTAAAAATTAACTTTTTGTTATTTAATTTTCCACATAAAAATTAAATTTTTAACATAAGATTCATCCACATGCAATGGAATATTAATTAACAAATTATCACACAAACACACCCTCCAATTTGCTATTCAGCAAGTCCAATCCTACGTAATCAACAAACAAGCCAATAATATATTTTTTTCCTGAAATTTAATTTTTAAGTATTCATAATGAATAAACTAGAATTTCAATTCTGTGAGATCCACTTTTTTTTTGGGTTAATATTACTTGCATTTTATGTTGTATTTTTGGATAAGAAGAAGAAGATTCTAGGTTTAGTTCCTGAGGAAATCCATTGGAATGTAACCATCATAACTGCAATCTAGTATTCTCACTCGTGCCGTAAATTTCCCTTTGAAAAAACAGAACAATTTGACAAAAAATAATTGATCTGCCAAACATGCTATTGTAATATTGTTTACCATATGGGGTTATGATCCACCCGTCCCCAAATTGACCACCAGTCCCAAATTGACGTATAAACAAAGTTCATAATTCTATTAACAAATATTGTCTTGGGTTTAGGATAAATTTTTGCTTTTGTTCTAATACCAGATGTTTTAGGACTTTGTTTTTACAAGTTTAAATAATTATACTATGTTTAGATCTAGAATTTAGGAAAAGTAGAAAAATGAAAATGAAAGTATTTGTACTTGTTCAATTTTTTACATTAAAAAAAGACAGAAAGAAAGAAAAGATATATTGGAGAGCTATTTATTTTCTTTTCATTTTCTTAGTTCAACCAATAAAAGTAAAAATATTCAATTCATTTCACCTGGTTTTTCTTTTCTATTTTTTTTTCCACTTCCCTAAACAAATACTAGAACGAAACATAATGTAAGAATTCATAGGTTTTGTGATTAGGAGCTAGGGTTAGAAAATAATATTATCTCTTGAGGTGGTTAATTACATTTTGCGATCATTGGATGCTATCAATCATAGCTTTATCATAATTAGTCGCAACAAAATCACAAAAATATATGACTTTGCTCACAAAAAAATCATAATTTTTTTAATGTTTATAGCATATAACTATAAAATTCATTACGCAATCACAATAATTGGTAATTTGAATCACATGAAGTACCCCTTTGAAAAAAAAAAAAAAAATCAAATGAGGTAGTATTGTATCGTGAATTTTACCAAAGTGGTTTATGAGTTGACTGACTGATTAGAAAATGGTAAATTACAAATGTATTTTTTGAGATTTATTTAAAATATAAATTGCTTCCAGTGTTTTAAAAAATTACAGATACACCTTTGTCAGATTTTTTATTTAACATAATTAACTAAAAAGATAAAATTCTTAACTGCTCTCATACAATATAATAAAATTACCTAAATTGTTAATTAAAATAAATTTTAACACCACTAAAACTGTTAATTAACTTGATAATTTATTAATAAAAGAGGCAATTTGTTATGAAATTAGAAATCTCATGGAATGAGATGCAATTTCTAAAAAAAAATAGTGACAATTCATATTTTAAATAAATCTCAAATAATGTATTTATAATTTACCCAATTAGAAAATTAATACTTCTAAAAACTCATAAAATGTATGACAGTCATACCTTTTCATTAAAGAGGGGTTGTGGTTTGAAAATTTCTTTTTCTGCTTTAGATCCACAAATACTGTAGAAACTCTTCAGATTCTTCAAACATTCAAGATGTAGAGAATGCAGGTCACGAAAAATGAAAGGCTTATCGTGGGCCCCTCCTTCCTTATTAGCTACTAATATTGCTTTCAATTCGGAGCAATAGACTATGCGTAGATTTCGGAGACGCGGTAGGTTCCAAAAGGATTCATTCTCTTCTTGTTGGACTAGGAGTTTTAATTGTTTGTCCCCTATTATCCCTGATATGTTTCCTACAAATTCGATTGTCAAGTCCTCCAAGACAGGGAATGTCACCTGCAAAATTTAATAGATCAAACTCACTTTTTCTTCAAAAAAAAATTTACGCATAAAATAGTATATTTAAATTTTCTAATCAGAGCAACGAGATGGATCTATTATTTGGTATCATTATGATGCTGCATTTTCATGAATCCTATCAAAGTTGTAATCATCACTTCAAATATATGTCAACATAATTGCGTCGTTTTACCAAGTTTTCTTGATTCCTGTACTACTATCAGTATGAGTATCTCCACTATAATTTGCATAAATTTGGTAGACAAATATTTAATATATTTCATTTTTTAAATTCCTCAACTTGTATATAGGGTGGGTTTGCGATTGACTTTTTTTAATTATTTTTTTAATTCATAACAAATAATTTTTTGACTTTTAATTTTTGTAACCAAAATTAATTTTTTTAAAGTCTCCAAATGCCCACTTATTAGTCATAGAGAAACAACCTCATTATAATTTTGGGATTGGAAAGGTTGTTCAATATGAAGTAGAAAATTAGCCTCGTTTGAAAATATACTATTTTAATAATTTTTTGACTTTTTATAAAAAGATATGCAGAAAAAGTAGAGAGTGTGATGTGACAATTTATAGTGACTTTTTAACTTTTTGACTAAAATTTAAGATATACTCTATCTATATCAAATTGTTTGTTTATTTTTTTACAATTGTGTACCTTAATCGAGTAAATAATTTATTTTTATAAATTCAATTTTTTTTTTCACAAATTAAAATATATCAATTAATTCATGTAGATAAAGTTTTCAAATCATTGAAAAAAATAAGAAAATATAGACTATTTTTTGAGACGTTTGAAATTGGGAAAATAGAACAATTTAAAACTAGGGGAGTGACAAAAAAATGTGTAAATAACATTAAGAGGAAAAACATCTTAGTTACTCGTAGTTAATTTTGCGTTAGACAATTGTTTGTTTGTTTTTTTATTTTATTTTTTATTTTGAGTCTCTAATAGTGGCTTAGTTAGTTTTATTTTATTTTATATTTTGTCAATTGATAAAAGATTAATTACAAATATGAAAATAATTGCATCAATTTGAACAATTTTATTTTATATTTTGCCAATTGATCAATTTGAACAATTATAATCCAACAACTCAACTCAACAAATTACATCAATTTGTTTGGGAACCTTAATTTTTAGCTAAAACTATAACCTATCAAATCGTTTTCTCTACTTCACCACATGTCCTTTTATAAAAAAGTTAATTCTCAAACACTTAACAAATACCACTGAAAATCCCAAAAGCAAGAAAGTAAGAAACAACTTAAGCCCAACAAATACCACAATAAAAAGCCCATAATGGAAACAATAAATAACAATATAGTGATGGAGAGATAATCAATCCGTCTTTGGTAAAAAGAGTAATGTTAGAGACTCTAAATATTCTACTAAAAGTTTTACCAAATGTCTCACATGGGTGTGGGACCCACACAATGTGGGTCCCATGTGGGTCCCACACCCATGTGAAACATTTGGTAAAACTTTTGGTAGAATTTTTGGGGTCTCTAGCATTTTTGTTGGTAAAAATTAACACCCTTAACTTTCTAGACCAGAGTAAAAATTCTATTTTGTACTTCACTATACTTTAATTGATGATTTATTATTGGATGTGTAATATATTAAGTCTTGTGCTTCCCAAATCTTAAAAAAAAACCTCCCTGACCACAGTAGTGATACTGATGACGTGGTATCACCAACAATTAATAAATGTGCACTATGTGAAGGGTCAACTCAACAATTACTTTGCCACATATACATGGAGGGTAAAAGATAAGAAATAATTAGTTGTTGATACCAATGACATGGTATCACCCTTATATTCAATCCCCCTCCCCCCATATAGAATTGTAAAAAAATGACCAATTCAACTAGTCTGGTTAATTATACTACAATATATTAGAGTTTTAGAGACTAATTTTTTTTGTCTCTAAAAGTGAAAATTTTGTTGTAAAAGACATTTAGAGACTAATTTCTATCGTCGTGAGGATAGTCGCTAATAAATAGACTTTTAGGGACAAAATAATTTAATTTCAAAATGATTTATTTTTTTAGACCAAAAAAAAAAATGGTCCTAAAAGAATAATAATTCATCAATGTCCAATTTTCGTTACTAAAAATACAATGACAATACTTTTCGCAACAAAAATATTTGATCCCCAAAAAATAATCTTGTCCCTAAATTTTGATCTCTAAAACCTTAATTTTCTGTAGTGTTAGGCTTAATTAATTGCCCCTTAATTATTTTAGAAACACTGAGACGTGTAGTCGATTGAAATTGAGTTATAAGTTCAAACTTGTATTTTATTCTTAGCCTCCGTTTGGGAAGTGGGTTAACTTTTTGGCTTTTTTAGCCTGGGGCTAAAAAGCCTAGTTTGGGAATGACTTTTTGGCTTTTTGACTTTTTTGACTTTTTTTGTGAGAGAGGAGTGTAATGATTATGGGTTGGATTTGATGTTTTATTTTTTGTGGCTAAAATAGCCTATTTTGTTTTTTGTGGCTATTTTAACTCCTAACCCACCAAAACCAACTTCCCAATCTTACTAATGTAAGATTGTTGGCTAGATAGTATAATAATTTTTGTTATTTGATTTTTCGCGTAAAATTGTACATTTTATACAATTCCTTTACTTTTAACATAAGATTCACAATGGCATATTAATTAATTATCACACTCACACACCCTCCAATTTGCTATTAAGCAAGTCCAGTGGCACAAAATTAATAAACAAACCAATAATTTTCTTTTCTCAAATTTAATTTCAAAGGATTCAAAATGAATGAACAAATCATTTACAAACCTCTTTCTCTTTTTCTTTTTCTTTTTAAAATTAATTTGCATTTGATGTTGTATTTTTGGATAAGAAGAAGATTCTTGGTTTAGTTCTTGAGGAAACCTATTAAACTGTAATCACAATAATTACAAAGTATTCAAACTCTTCGCTCATGCTATAAATTGGCCTTTGAAAGAAAAGAACAACTTCATCAAATGACAAAAAATAAAACATGTCATTGTAAATATTGTTCTTAATAAGTGCTTATGATTCATAGTCTCCAAATTGAAGTTTAAATAGAGTTCATAATTCTATTATCAAATATTGTCTTGGGTTTAGGATAAATTTTTTTTTTGTTCTGATACCAAATGTTTTAGGGTGTTGTTTTTAAAAGCTTAAACAATTATGCTATATTTAGTTCTAGAATTTAAAAATGAAAGAATTTGTACTTGTTCATTTTTTCTATATAAAAAAGAAAAAAAATATATAGATATATTGGAGAGCTATTTATTTTTCTTTATATTTTCAACAAAAGTAAAAACATTCAGTTCGTCTCACTTAGTTTTTCTTTTCTAATATTTTTATTTTTTATTTTCACTTCCCTAAACAAATCCTACAACCAAACATAACCTAAGAATTCATAGGTTTTGTGATTAGGATCTATGGTTAGAAAATAATATTATCTCCGCGAGGTGGTCAATTTTATGTATGATGTTTCCATTTCAAAATCTACTTTAATTAGGTTTCAACTCAAGATCTTTCGGTGCTATATTAATCTTATTTTGGTTGGGAATGAATAAAGGGAAATTTTTCATACACACTCTGCACCATATTTCATAACTTTACCATATTTAATCGTAATAAAATCACAAAAATACATAAGTTTGTTCATCCAAAAAAAAAAAAAAATCTTAGTTTTTTTTTTATGTTTATAATATAACCACAAAATTCAGTAATAACTAACACTACAAAAAATAGTATACTTCCTTGCGATTAAAGGAAATATGAGTAGAAAATTTTTAATAATAAATCTTTGAACTCAAAAAAATTGAACTAGAAATTTATCCAAAATGAAGATAGCTGGCTTAGATTCAACTTATGTGTTGTGGATTCATATATAAAATGCATTTAGACATTTATTAAAGTTTTTGAGTAAATTTATGGGATAAATATTATAGGTATGTAGCACTATCGAATTTTTAATCACATGGTAGTATTGATACTTCTAAAAAATCATAAAACGTACGACAGTCATACCTTTTCATTAAAGAGGGGTTGTGGTTTGGAAATTTCTTCTTCTGTTTTAGATCCACAAATGCTGTAGAAACTCTTCAGATTCTTCAAACCTCGAAGACGAAGAGAACACAATTCATGAAAAATGAGAGGCTTATCGTGTGCCCCTCCTTCCTTATTAGCTACTACTATTGCTTTCAATTCGGTGCAACGGACTATACGTAGATCTCGGAGATGCGGTAGGTTCCAAAAGGATTCATTCTCTTCTTGTTGGACTGGGAGTTTTAATTGTTTGTCCCCTATTATCCCTGATATGTTATCTACATTCCAAATTTCCAAGTACTCCAAGGCAGGGAATGCCACCTGCAAAATTTAATAGATCAAACTTATGTTCTTTCAGTTATCAAGCATTTCCAAATCAACAGAAAAAGTTACTACAAAACAAACCTTTTCACAAAAGAGAGGTCGTGAAGGGTTAGAATTGTTTGCCTCTGTTGTTGAAGTGTTTTTCATACTTGAATAGAAGCTTCTAAGGTTGGGTAAGTCCTCTAACACCATTTTTTTTAAATGATGAAAAATAATTTCCTCCTCGTCTCCTTGTCTTTCATTTCTAATAATTTCTTCCATATCCTCACAGTCTCCTATTTCTAGACGTTGGAGTTGCTCAAGACCTCTTGCAATGGAGTGTGTGAAGAGAAATTTAAATTGACAATTTTTAACACGCAATTCACACAAGTTACAAAAAGAACCTGGCAGAATTCGTGGTTGAGATTTTAGAAACTGTAATTCCGAAAATCCCATTCCATCTTCGCTGTGAAACAGAACCTTTTTCATACCTGTGAGGCTAAGTATCTCAAGGTTCCTTAAGCTCCCCAATATCCCCAATAAAGCTATCTCTGTCATCAATCTGCCGCCATTTAGACATAACATCCGAAGTTCAACTAATGTTGAAAGTGATGATGGGAGGCTCTTTATAGGCATTTCACTCAGATCTAGGACTTCAAGATTGTTTTCCATTCCATTGAAAAAATTGTTTGGAAAATCTGTTGGTGAGTCATTGCTGCACGCTAACACCAAGGTATGGAGCCCTCTACATTCCAACTCATTGGGAAACTCATGAATATTTGCAGTGAACCTTAATGAGATTGCCGAGTAATGTTCATATCTGCCTTTCACTGGCCACTTTTCGATGCCATGTTTTACTAGATATTTTTTCTCATCTTCTGCGATCGATATAGAGACATCTCGAATAATATCATGCATTTTGAAAAACATCATTGTGAGCAATCTGAATAGCACTCCGATTGTCACAGTAGAGAGGGGTAGGAGTAGATGAAGAAACTCCCATATCAGCAAGGAGCCAGCGAAGCCAGAGAAGTTCCTGAGTAGTATCAGCAAGAGCTCGGTATTCAGCTTCGGTGCTAGAGCGGGCAGTGAGAGATTGTTTTTTGCTACGCCAAGCAAGAAGAGAATCCCCTAAGAAGAAGCAGAATCCCGTGGTGGAGCGTCGATCCGTAGGATCCCCAGCCCAATCAGCATCGGAAAAGGCACGTAGGTCAAGAGAGGAAGAAGCCGAGAAGTGAAGACCATGGAACAAAGTGCCTTTGAGGTAGCGAAGGATACGGAGTAGAGCAGTATAGTGGGGAGTGCGAGGAGCCGACATGTACTGACTGACAATGTGAACAGCATAGGCAATGTCAGGACGAGTGACTGTGAGATAGACAAGACTGCCGACGAGCTGGCGATAAAGAGTAGCATCAGAGAGAAGAGTCCCATCGAGAGGAGTGAGACGAATCTGAGGATCAACCGGAGTAGAGGCAGTTTTCCTCGATGCTAAAGATTTTGGGGCTCGGCCTACTTACTTTTTTGCCCTTCTCTACCCAGAGAGGGTCTCAGGAATTATAACTTTGGGTGTGCCATTTGTGCCCCCAAGTCCCTCTACTTACCACAAGTACCTACCTGAAGGTTTCTACATCTCAAGGTGGAAGGTGAGTAGTAACTTTTTCAGTTTACTTGCTTAGAATTGAAGAAACAATTTTAGCTTCTTGCAATTTGATGTTTGTAATCTCAATACTAGGAACCTGGACGAGCTGAAGCTGATTTTGGCCGCTTTGATGTTAAAACAATTGTGCGGAACATCTACATTCTCTTCTCCAAAAGTGAAATACCAATAGCGGGAGAAAACCAAGAGATCATGGATTTGGTGGAACCGTCTACTCCTCTACCCCCTTGGTTCACAGAGGAAGATCTTGAAAACTATGAAGCTTTGTACAAGAAATCTGGAGTCCTCGCCGCCATGCAAGTTCCTTACAGGTAAATAGTTTCAAACTCAAAAATTGTTTTTGAGCTTTTAAATGATGATGCTAAGGTGGATGTATGTCAAGACTAGACAAGACAGAATAGAAATGAGTGTATTCGGGAATTGATAGGAGTAAAACCGATAAAAGATAAGTAGAGAGAGAATCGATTGAGATGGTTTGGTCACATTCAACGGAGACCAACAGAGGTAGTAGTGAAGAGATGTGATGCTATAACCGTAGAAAGAAGTGTTAGGGGACGGGATAGGCCTAGATTAACATTGATTAGCGTTGTAAATAGAGACATGGATCTAGTTAATTTGACTAACGAAATGGCCTTTGATAGGGCCGCGTGGAGAAGAATGATTCATGTAGCCGATCCCATTTGATGGGACTTGCTTAGTTTGGTTTGGAAGGGTAGAAATAATTTTTTAAAATAATTTTTTTTTGATATTTATTTTCGTTAAATTATTTTTTGTCTTTTCAAAAGTCAAACATGACGACAATTTTGATATTATTATTAAATCATCCATTAAATCAAAAAATTTAAAATTAAAAATATTTCATAAATTAAATATATCGATTATACATTAAAAGCTTAATAACCATTTATTACACGATAACTATCAAAAAATATCTATTAATAACAAATACAACCATGTATTATCTAATAACCATCCAAAAATATCAACAAAAATAACCACCAATTACATGATCATTATTCAAACACATACTAGAAATTAAGTTGGTAAAAAAAATATAAAAAAAATAAAAATGTAAAAGATTTATCATTTTTATATAATTTTATCTTTAGTGGGTAAAAATAATTTTTAAAAATTCAAAAATAATTTGTTGACATTTATTTTGTCAAATTAGTTTATATTTTATCAAATTAACGACTTGGCTCTTGAAATGGAACAACTATGTCTTCAATTCTCCTTATTTGGACCGAAATTCAAAATTCAAGATCAAATGTATCACAATTGAAAAGTCATTAACCAGAGTGACACAAGTTTCAAACTATAGGAACCGTTAGTGTAATTTGTCCTTTAACTAATTAAATATTTTTTTTTAAACTAATTCATGTCTATGCGCACCATTATTTTTGTACACCTCCCTAATTTGTGATAGGAATGTGTTTGAAACCATTAAAGAGGTTTTCATTATTTGACTCATGATGACATGTCATAGTAAATAAAAAAATTTATACATAATTTTCATATATAATGATATGATTGGTGATCTTTTGCTCTAAAATAAAATACTCATAAAAATAATTTATATTTACAATAATGTCACTTCTATATCATTTTTATGATTTTTTTTTTTGTATAAATATAATTTTTCTTTGAATATTTTTCTAGCTTTTCTATTTTTGTGATAATATGGTCAATACCTTAATTTAAATCAAATGACTTTGGATAACCCAATTTTATCGCCTAGTTGAAAAGACACAGTGTGAAAGCAAAAATAACAGAGCAATGCTAGGACATTAATGATTAGAAAAATATTGGAAATTTATAATTTAAATTCATTATTTACTCACAATAATACGTTAAAAGAGTTGAGACTTACATAGTTAAATTTAGAGAAAATTATATCGATAGTTCTTATATTTTGTTTCATATGTCATTTTAATTCTTATAGTTTCAATTGATTCAATTTTGATTCTTAATCATATGATTTTCATCAACTTGATCAAAATACCTAGAAGAGTTACCTGGGATTACAGACAAAGCAGTAGGAGGAGGTGTACCAGATGAGGAGAGAAGTTGTTTGAGCATGGCTTCTACATCCGTTGGAGAAAAGTGAGGGGGAGATGGAGCAGGTGACTCAGAGAACCCTGCAGAGGGGGCAGTGTCAGTGTGATGAGACTGATTCCCGGAAGCAGCAGCAGCAGTGTGATGAGACTGATTGCCGGAACGGTGAAAGTTTCCCCGGGAAGAGCCACCGCGAGAGGAGTGGCTATTGGAGGATGAGCGGGATGGATTGCGAAAACAATCCTGTTGCAGATGTCCAGGACCAAGTTTGTTGCAGTAGCGGCAGGATCTGACGGGGCAATTGACCAGGAGATGGGTTGAAGGAAGGCCCCGATTCTGACAGTAGAGGCAAGCAGTAGTCCGCTGGGGAAATGATGGCCGGGACGGAGGAGTGGCAAGAACAGAGTCCACATGATGAGTTTGAAGAGTACCGAGACGAGTCTCCTCGGATAGCAACTCAGAAATTGCTTGTTCAAGAGTGGGCAATGGATGGCGATGAAGCAGAGAGGCACGTACGGGCTCAAAAGAGGGGGTAAGAGCCATGAGAAATTGCACCAACCTTTGCTGGTTGCGATGGTTAGTAAATAAAACTGCATCTTCGGGGTCATGCCAGGTTGGTTCTGAAAGAGCAAGCTGATCCCAAACAGAGTATATTTGAGAAAGGAAGTCATTAATGGACTGAGTGGATTCTTGGCGCATGCGGTGAAGTTGGTTCTGAAGTTGATATTGATGGGCAAGACCAGTAGTCTGGTATCGTTCTTTCAAAAAATCCCAGATGTCTTTCGCAGGAGTAGTTACAGAGTCAAGCTGAAAGCGGCCAAATTGAAGACTGATAGAGGTAACAGAGGTATTACGAAACCAGGTAATGATTTGGTAATTCTTACTGTCCCATTCCTCAAGTCGGTCTTCATATGTAGCAGTATGAACAGGAGTTTCAGTAGTGGCACTGTCTTTTACTGGTTTAGCCACATCCCCGGTGACAATTCGCCAGAGCTTCTTGCCTTTGAGGAAAGAGGACATAGCTTGGGCCCACAGAACATAGTTTGAACCATTTAAAATGACGGAAATGGGATGGGAGGCATCATGACGATCCATAATACTAGTTGAGTAGGGTTAAAGTAATAGAAATAGATCCGTAGGAGCAAAATTTGGTAAAACAGAGTGTACCAGTGAGTCCGGAAGGTCGAAAATAGCAAGGAAAGGTATGCTGGACAGAGATGATGTCAGCAATGATGTCAGCGGCGCACGTTAGCAGAGTGCAGGGAGGAGCACGTTAGCAGGAAGGCAACGGCGCACGTTAGCAGACAGGCGCAGGCGCGGCTCACGGTAGCTGGTTTGGCGCACGCGGGTGCACACTAGCAAAGCGGCGCACGGTACGCGTATGGTAGCAGGCGCGGCGTATGGGAGCCGCGGACGTGTGGGCGCGTGTGGGCGCGTGGCGGAAGTGAGCGACAGGAGTTGGCGCGTGTGGGCGCGTGTGAGAGTGGTGGCGGTCGTGTTGACGCGCAGAGGCTAAGGGTGGCGCGTGTGGGCGCGTGTTGGCTTTTCTGAGAACGGGCTTGGTGCCGTTGGACTCAGGAGAAAATTTCGCACAGGTTGATGTGCTCTGATACCATGTAAGTTTAGTTTGAGAGAGAAGCTAGAGAGCAATGAATGAGAGAAGCTAGAGAGCAAAATGGTTTCTGTCTATTATGTGTTGTATCTTTACAAGAGTGAACTCTCTCTTTATAGAGAGAGGAAATGTACATTGGATACCAAAGGATGATTGGTAATCACCGAAAGAATAAAGTGAAAAGAGAAAGCATCTATATCTAAACAATTAGCAATATTATATTATATTAACACATTTTGACCACACTTTCATCTGTGTCATCTAACAACAAACAAGATGTTTTGAGGACATCAACCATGGCAAGTACTCTATTTGTTACCTCATCAAATGCATTCAGGTCTTGATCAAGTAACCCCATCCCAAAGCTATATCTCACCAAGTCGTCAATTGAAATCTCAGCATCTTCCGGAAACAAAGAACAAAGCAAGAAGCATGATCGTGCATCCTTGGGCTCTAGACGATCATAGCTCCATTTTAATGAGATTAACAAATTTTGATCGATATCTGCAATTTCTTTTATCTTGTAATTTTTAAGTTGTCGAAGTGCATCTTTCCACGCATGCTTTCCCTTGCCTTTTAATGATGCTGCAACTGCACGTATAGCAACTGGTAAGCCTCCACATTTGTCACACACTTCCTTTGCTTCAGAAGGGATTTCAGAGTCCACAGAAATTGCGGCGACTTTCTTAAATAGGGTCCATGCTTCTGACTCTCGTAAGACTCCCATTAGGAACTCTTTGGTCCATGCTTCTGGCTCTGCTAAGACTGCATTCAAGGAATCTTCTTGATCAACTGGCACTGACATCTTTTGGCACAAACCTCTTTTCCGTGATGTTATCACAACTTTACAGCCCTTATTACCATCAGCAATTGGAATTTCAATGTCCACCAAGTTAAGTGGTTTCCAAACGTCGTCCAATATTACGAGGTTCCTTTTCCCATTGTTTAATCTATGATATAGTTGATATGCGTTTCCATTTAGTGTCAAGTCCAATTGGAGTGCAACCTTTTCTTTAACAGCTTTCGCATTCAGGGTTTGGGAGATAGTTGCCATCGCAACATCATCAAATAGCCCATTTTGCTTTGCTAGCTTGCCAACCTTTGTTGCCATTGTGGTCTTGCCAACACCACCTGGTCCATATAGACCAATCATTTTAATGCAAGGATCGGCCAACGCTTTCATGATCTCCTCAAAGATCTCTGCTCTTGAATCAAAAGCCACGTAACCTTGGGAGAAATAGTACCCAAATTTCAAAGGAGGTGTGCGCTGTGCCACTTCTATTGTCATATACTGTTTGCCGCTGTCTTTGAGAATAATAACACGAGTTGTCTTCTCTTTGGATTCCTTGCCTAGCTTGTAACGCCGAGAAACATTCGGACAACATTTGAGGCACCACATGTTTTCTCTTGTTGCGTCTACTAGTAATGCCTCCACATCTCCTTTAATCCCGTTCGCTGACTCTATCCATTGCAGAACATCAGCCTCAGGGATTTCTCCATTGTTTTTGGCTCTCTCGACCCTTCCATCGATCCTTGTTAGCTCATTTTCAAATTTTTCGGTTTCATCTAGGAGATTTTGAATGTTCTTCTTGTAGTCAATCGCATAGCCAATGTGCTGCCAGGCTATTTTGCAGCCTATTGTGATTAGGTACGAAGATTTGCTAAGGATTTGGTCCAAACCAATCATTTTTGTTTTTCCTTCCTTATGTCTCTCTTCAATTGCTGAAAACAAAAGGCACAATGTCAGTAAGAAAAACTAAACTGTAGTGAAAGAAAGTATCAGGGTTTTTGATTCAGGAGTTCCTTTTAAGTTTCATTTGTTATTGGTTAATATAGTTAATTTTTTTGTGTTGGAACTTTTTTAGTCTCGTTTGGTTTGGATTTTTTGATTTTTGTGAGAGAAAAAGTGTAATGATTATAAATTAAATGTGATATTTTATCTTATTAACTTATTTAGCCTATTTTATCATTTTATACTTTTTTTTAATTCCAAAATAATAGCCAAACCAGGGCTTACTTATTTATATTTATCGAAATGCGATATATCTGTATCTGTATACACTATGATATAAGGAAGTGGGAGTTGAGCACTTTTAAACAGTATTTTTACCGTTCAAAAGTGGCTCTCTTTTTTGTTTTCCATTTTGCCCCTCTTTTTTTTAATCGTCAAAATACTCTTATATGATAAGAGATATAAAATTACTTTTTTGCTATAAACATTGAAATCAGAGTGACTTTTTATTTGGAGAAATTACAGCCTATTTTGAAAAGTTGATTAAAATTTAATTTTTTAATTTTTTTTAAAAATATATTAAAAAAAATAGAGAAATAATGTAACATAAAAAAAAAATCAAAAAGTTAAAAAGGTGACTTTTAAATCGTGTTGCCAAAATAAGCCAACATCTCAATATGTGGGAGAAAAAAAAAAATTTTACACAAACATAAAGGGATGCAAGTCATACTTGCACTCCCACAACTTTTCACTTGCATCTCATCACAAAATTACTTACATATCATATATTTTTGTAGTATTTTTTGTTTGTCTCAATGGGTTGAAATTCTCCCTTTTATTCATCGTTTTTAAATTCCCTTTTGTAAATTAGTCTGTTTTGTCTTATTAACTAAATTAGTATTTTTTGTCTTTAGTTAATAAGACAAAATGCCACATCAAACTATAATTATTTTACTTTTTATCTCACAACCATCACATCCAAACTTTAAAATAAAAAAAAATGAAAAGTTTTTTTCCAAATGGAGCTAAGCCAGGCTAAGGGATTGTTTGGGATGTTCTAAATAAGTGTACTTTTTGACTTTTTATGAAATATAGATTGGGTTTGAAGTGATGTGGTAGAAAGGTGATATGACTTAAATAAGATGATGTGACTTAAATAGGATAGTGACTTTATGATTTTTGAACTTTTTTTGAAGATGTCAAACTTAGCCTAAATTAGACAAAAAGTTATTCTAAATTAGCTTTTCTCAAACGAAGACTTTGTCTTTATTGACTATTTTAACTAAAGATTGGTTCAATTTTTAATTCAGCTCAAAACCAAAGATAAATATGTCAGTAAACACCCCTAAAAATGATAGATAAATCTCACATATACACGTCACCTATTGCATAAAATACACATAAAAAGTGAAGTAAAATAGTGAAGCTAATGCAGTGATAAATAACATATCTACATAGGAGGCTATTTTCGTCATTTACTAATTAATGTTTTCTAGCACTTTAGAAATAATTTTTGTGATTTGAGAAGGGTCGGTGATATTTTTTTGGTAATTCATTTTTTACTATTTTATATAATTTTAGTTAGCTTTAAATTAATTTTACAGTTTGTAATGGTAGATCTAGAAAGCAAACAAATAATTGGAGAGAATGTGGTAATGCATTTAATCTGTAGCCTGTAGGTGATCTTTTTCAGATAAGATAATGAGGGGAGTAGAAGATGCTCAACTCTGTTGTAGTAAATTGTTACAACTGCATAAGATGAGTTTTGACGCTCAATAGGAGGGGAAGCTAAGCCACCAATTCAACTTTAATTAATGAGGATTTTGAACATAAAAACTACCTTGGAAAAATGTGAGAGTAGTTCAACTGTTAAAAACACGCAGCTCTACTAAACTAACCCTCTTCTGGAACTCTGCTATAACTTCAAGAAAAGTGAGCTTAACAAAATAAACAAATAAATAATCAAGAAGAAAAAATAAAAATGAACATATCAAGAAGTTCTTGGTTGAAAGGATAATTTGTTATCATGACATAGAGAGAGAAAGGTGAGTATGTAGTTTCAAGTTAATCCCAAGGTGGTCAAGACCTGGGTACAGGGTGTGGTCTCTAGGAAAATTATTGGATATTCTTGGAGGATCGCGTGCTCATATTTCTTCACTAATTATTATTTATCATATTTTCTCATATTCCTTAATCACCTAACACAAAATTATAAGTCTTACATTTTCCATCAATTATAATATCCTGGAGCACCACATGGCCGTGCTCCATAGGAGTATCCAATAACTTCTTGTGGTCTCTCTGTTCAACAATTTTCTTTTTATAATTTTCCCTATATTTATTGGGCTCTTAAATCATGAGAGAGCAATGCACCTTGTCTCTAATAATAAATTGATTGGAGGATGAGATTCGATGACGAATAGCCTTGCCTCTGCTCTGTGGAACAAATTGAAAAATACGCGTACAATAAGCTATAATTAATTTAACAAAGATAAAATGTCAAGTATACAGGAGGAAGTTCATACATTAGTTGATATTTGTTTGATGAAACAGAAGGAACTGCATTAGTTTGACATTATTATACTCGTATACAAACAAAAATTATACGTTATGTTATTGGTCTATAACCCAATAATATATTTTTATGGGTAAATTACACTGAGCTGCTGGGATGTTGTCGATCTTTAACATTAAAGTTGCTCTGGGCTGCTGCTGGGATGGAGTTGGGGTTGTACAACTGTATCATGCAGGGCTGGTTGCATCTGTTATGGGATGGTTCTGTTCTTTGCTGGTATGGTTCTGTTCGGGGCTGCTTGTATGGTGTTAGGGAAGTTTAACTGTTCTATGCTTTCTTTTTGTCTTTTTATTGATTTTGTCAATGTTTTTGCTTGATCATTATCAATAAATTTTCTCTTTGGCTGTTTCAAAAAAATTACACTGACCTCCCTTAGAAAAATATAGTAAACTTTATAAGTTTGATATAATTACATCGTATTCTGTCAACATTTTAATTTATATAACATTTGGCCCATCTTTTATCAAAAATTCGTTAGTTATATAAAAAATAAAAAAATGATGTTATCATTTCTGTGAGGGTAAATTATACTAATAGTCCCTACATTTTACTCTTTATGTTATTTTAGTCCCTATACTTTCAATTGACTCAATTTTGACCCTTAATTTGAAATTTTACATCAATTTGGTCCGATTGATAATATTGTTAGTGTTTTTGATAGAAAATAATCACTAAATTGATTAAGATTAACTTACTAACCAAATTTATAATTTTGTTTCTAAAAATATGACACATCACTTATGTAATTAGACTAAATTGAAATAAAGTCATAAATTTGGAGTCAAAATTGAGTCAATTGAAATTACAAAGACTAGAATGACATAATGACTAAAATAGAGGGACTACCGACATAATTTGTCCTTCCTTTTACACTGAAATATTTATTTTACCTCGTGTATTTTACTAAAAAAATAGATTTTGCAATTATATCAAAAAATTTTAAGGACATCAGTACCCATCTTTTATTTATAAAAAAATCACTGTCATGCCAGTTTGGTGGATAATTCTGAAAGAATATTTTTTTTGTTGATATTAAAAAAATAAAAAAGATAACTATTTTTAAATAGAAACCATTGGAGAGGTTTGAGGTCTGTGCTATTAGCCAAATATGTTCAAATAGAAGATTAAATGAAGAATAAAAGTTGCGTTTTCCTGAAAATGTGATCACGTTTGATTCCCTTCCGTCAGAGAACGTTGTCTCGTGGCCTTATCACATGTCTAGGTCTTTTGGTGATTTTTATTTTTATTTTGACAAAAAACAAAATTAAACATTTTAGATACACACAAAAAATAAATTATAATTTATATGTACAAAACAAACAAAATAATCAACAAAGTCTGCACATTTTTAAATTTTATTATTATTATTATTTTGGCAAACTTTTTTCCAAATTTTTTCACTTTTACAAGTGAATTAGGTGAAATTTTAATTTTATATATATATATATATATATATGTAAAAAAACAAAAATCCTAAAATAATTTCTGAAAACCAAACCAAATAAGCATGTCTTGAATCACACTTTGCCCTGCACCCAATTACTTTTATTCAAGTCTCAATCAACAATTCATCATCCACACACAGCTAACAAAATTTGAATATGAAGAGTTGGGATGAGATTCAAAAGAAGCAGACCAGAAAGCTATAGATTTCCTAATGGTAGATGAGACCAATAAAAAGTTAACAACGATGTGTTGTGTGGCTATAATTTGTAGTACCTCTCCACTTACACTGTTGTTGACTTGCATTAACTTGGGGGTTTGAGTTTGGTTTGGAAAGTGGGTTGATTTTTGGTTTTTCAATTTTTTAAGTTATTTTAGCTTGAGTTAAAAAATTTCGTTCAAGATAAATTTTTTAACTTTTTTAATTTTTTTGAGAAAAAAATTAAAATGATTATGATATAGATATGACATTTTATTTTATTAATTTTTTAATTTATTTTGTCATTTTGTGACTATTCTAACTCTAACCTATGATGCCAAACAAAGCATCAATATTTAGTGCCCTTCCCTTATCATTTGCTTTATACATTTACGTTTGGTTTTTTTAAGCAGAAAATGTTTTTTAAAAATATTTTTATTTATATTTTTGATATTTAGTACGATCAAAAATAAAAATCAAAAGAAAATAATTTTATGTAGGCAAAAAATATTTTTCACTTTTTAAAAACAGAAAACATTTTCATATTGAACTTAAGGTCTTTCACATTTGAAAATATGAGAATTATGAATAAGGTCTTATGCTGGGTTTGGTTGAGGTTGAAAGGGAAATGAGAAAATGTGTGTGAAACTATGTGAAATATATAGACTGATTTATTCACATTTCACCTAACTTTTTCATTTTCTTTTCCAAATTCCTTCCCAAATCTCCCAACCAAACACAGCATTTAGGTCGATCAATAAAGTCTTTCAATATGAAAATTCCCCATTAACTTATTGGGCTCTTAAATCATATTGAACTTAAGGTCTTTCAATAAGAGCCCTATAAGGTCTTTCACATTTGAACTTTCAAAATGGGTGCCAAATGCTTCATTAGGGAGGAATGAATCTTTTGAAAATATGATAAATAGAACTTAATTATTCATATTGAAACGCAATAATAATTTCGAAAGCAAAACAAGACTCATTAATATATATATATATTTTTAATTCACCTCAAAACCAAAATAAATCAGTCAGTAAACAGTCATAGAAAGTGATAGATAGATCTCAAAATGGTATGTATGATAATATTTTCCCAAACCCTAAGAGAGTGAAGTTAATGGGGAATTTTTTTTTTTTTTTTTTGTGTGTGTGTTTGCGCGTGTTAAAGATAGAATGTTAGTATGTTATTAAAATTAAGTTACAACTTAAAGTGGCCACCCCTATCCATTAGCTCGAATCCAGACCTTCCACTTACCGCACCCTGAGGTGCGGCTACATGCCACTCAGCCAGAAGCGCCGACTAATGGGGAAATTTATAGGATGTATACCATATACACTTTTAGTTACGATTTTTGTATTTAGTTATAACCTAATATGTTGGTAGTTATGATATATTATGATGTTAGTTATGACATTATTTTAATTATAATTTAAGAATTGTTTGGATATACCTCATGTGTTGTTCAATTATAACTCAATTTTTTTTAAAAAAAATTATGACTCTCATAGTGTTGAGTTATACAATTTATGATAATTAAACTTACAAATGGCCTAACTTACCATAGTATTTCCCTTCATTTATTGCTTAAATACACAAGAAGTAAAAGAGTGAAGTTGATGTAGTGATAAATAACATTTCTACAAAGAACAATTTATAGAAAGCTAATTTTGTCATTTACAACAAATGTTTTCTAGCACTTCTAGTATAAAAATAATTTTTGTGATTTGAGAAGGGTGGGTGATATTTTTTTGCTAATTCATTTTTTACTATTTTCTATAATTTTAATTGGCTTTAGATTAATTTTATAGCTTGCAGTCGTAAGATCTAGAAAGCAAACAAATAATTGGAGAGAATGTGGTAATGTATTTAACCGGTAGCCTGCAGGTGATCTTTTGCAGAGAAGATAATGAGAGGAGTAGAAGATCCTCAGCTCTGTTGTAGTAAATTGTTACAACTACATAATATAAGTTCTGATGCTCATGGGAGGGGAAACTTAACCACCAATGCAACTTTAATTAATGAAGTTTTTGAACATAAGAACTTACCCGGAATTGTCGGAGTAGTTAAAAACTAGCAGCTCTATCTACTATCTCTTATCTGGAACTCTGCTATAAGAGTTCAACAAAATAAACAAATAAATAATCAAGAACGAAAAAAAAATAAACAGAAGTTCATCATTGAAAAGGATAATTTGTGATCAAAATATGGTACATTTATTCCCAACCTATCAACCATTTGACCCTTTTATTTAGGCATTTATTTTAAATTGGTAAATACATATATGTTAGTATTTTTATAATTAAAATATATAGGCTTGGGTAAAAATTTTAGATATATTCGCAATAAAAAACTTTTCAAGACCGAGTCAGCTTATACCATGAGCCATGGTCTAGCCTTAACCTTGGGCTTGACTTAAAATATTAATTGGTCAATTAACAGACATATTTAATAACAATTAATTTAAACTTTATATTTTTTTAAATTATATTATGATTTATGAAGTTGTGTCAGGCACCTTTTGTATATCTCGCTTGGAAATAGATTATTTTAGTAATTTTTTAATTTTTTGTCTAAAATATAAGATACAAAAATTTAGTTTGTTTGGGATAACTTTTTGATTTTTTACGAAATAATGTATAAAAAGTAAAGGGAAAAGAGAATTTTTGAATTTTTAGTATAGTTTATTGGAATTGTAACTTTTGTAATGTCTTTTTAACTTTTAAATTAAAAAGTGATGTTCCCAAGCGAGGCCAAAGAGCCTTGAAATTGGGTTTCCGTCACTTTGTACTTGAACAATTCTCAATTCTAATTGAGTTCTTGAAAATTTGTTTAGTTCATTGCACAACTCAGGAGTTACTTGGCTCACTAATTTATTTATTTTTTAAATTAATAAATAAGAAATATGTATATATTTTTTGATATTTTCATTAACACATTTTAACTTTAATTAAGGAATTTATATATTTATTTTTAAAATATATTTAATATCTATTATATCAATATTTAGTTATATTTACATCTAATTTCTATTTGGCTAGCCATAGATTATGTTTTTAAATTAGAAGTTGATCCAAGAAGTGATGGCTCAATTTAAAATTATTTCAAAATTATCAATTTAAATTTTATCAAATTTTCATATAATGTTTTCCTCGATAGGATTAGATTGTTTGATAAATTATAATTTATAACTAAAATTTTCATTCATATTTTTTATTTAAATATTTTTATATTATAAATAATTAAAATTTCATTTGATTTTTTAAAAATCTTAAATTAGATGTGAGTTAGATATGGTTAAAAATTTATTTTGATTTCCATAAATAGTTTTTAAATTTAAAAAAAAAATAGATATAGCTAGATAGATCAAGAGTATTGTCTTTATGTCACTTTTACTAATATTTTGAAATAAGTATATTCAAATTATATATGATTAAAATTCAATTTGAACTTTTATTGCAAAAAAAATACAAATTTAAATTAGATGTGGCTTAAATATGGTTAAAATTCATTTTTGACTTTCTATCTAAAAAAAATTCCAAATTTAAAAAATATAAATTTGATTCAAAAGCTGATAATTTTTTGCCTGTGCATTTCTCAATTTTTAAAAATAAAAAAATAGAACAATT